ATGTGAAATAATAACATTTGGGATATAGCGGGTTAAACAAAATATGCTATTAGCATGAATTTCACCTGTCAGCTAATGTGACTAGTAGAAAATTTAAAATTACATATGTGGCTCACGCTATATTTCTATTGTACAGCACTGGTTTGGGAAAAGTCAAAGCTTGATCACAGGCAGGTTGCTGATTCTAGGGGGTTCCTACTAGCAGAAAAAAAGAAATTAGAATAGTTCCAACATTGGATTATAAGAGAGGTTTTAGCAAAAAATGTCAGACTATGCCTAAACATAACAGGGTTAAAAACATAGATTTAAACTATTTTCATCCAGATATTCCAGCATAATTTCCTTTAGAGAATCATGAATTTGGAAGAAGACTGATGTTAACTCTAAACCATCCATATTTGCAGATAATTCATGTGATGCATTTTGATAAGAATCTTAGAACAATAATGACTCAAAGCAAACTTTTGCTTTTAGCACACCAATAAGATGCTACATTTTAAAAACCCAGAAAATGTAGTAGGAAGCATTCATGAAGAAACATCTCAAGGGAAACTGGAATTTCCAATCATTAAAGGTATATGGGGCACTGTTGGTGGGAATGTAAATTGATACAGCCACTATGGAGAACAGTATGGAGGTTCCTTAAAAAACTAAAAATAGAATTATCATATGATCCAGCAATCCCACTACTGGGCATATACCCAGAGAGAACCATAATTCAAAAAGACACATGCACCCCAATGTTCATTGCAGCACTATTTACAATAGCCAGGTCATGGAAGCAACCTAAATGCCCATTGACAGATGAATGGATAAAGAAGATGTGGTACATATATACAATGGAATATTACTCTGCCATAAAAAGGAACGAAATTGGGTCATTTGTTGAGATGTGGATGGATCTAGAGACTGTCATACAGAGTGAAGTAAGTCAGAAAGAGAAAAACAAATATCGTATATTAACGCATGTATGTGGAACCTAGAAAAATGGCACAGATGAACCGGTTTGCAGGGTGGAAGTTGAGACACAGCTGTAGAGAACAAATGTATGGACACCAAGCGGGGAAAGCCACGGGGGGGTGGCAATGGTGGTGTGATGAATTGGGTGATTGGGATTGACATGTATACACTGATGTGTATAAAATTGATGACTAATAAGAACCTGCTGTATAAAAAAATAAATAAAATTCAAAACAAAGGTATACGGGTATGGTACTTTGATTCATGAATGTAAATAGTCTTCACCAACCCTTATGTGGTACCTATTATCACCCACATTTTATAGATGTGGAAACAGGTTCAAAAAGGTTGACTCATTGCCCTTTGAGAACAAGAACTCTGTCTTGTTTTCCACTTCGAGGCTAGTACTGGGTCTGCCACTTGGTAGGTGCTCAGTGAATGGCCATTGGCTGAAAAGGGACATTTTACTGATTCCAACACAACGTTTCTCTCTAAATACTGTCTGATTCCAACACGATGTTTCTCTCTAAATACTATCTTATTACAACACCCTTGCTTTTCCCAATACCACATGCCGAGAGAGGTGTACTTTAACTATTTTTTTAAGTTCTCACCATAAATCAATGGGATATAAATATTTTTATTCTTTCTGTCAACAAAATTTGTGTTTTTTTTTTTTTTTTTTTGGAAAGCATCGTAATGTTAAATCATGCTTCCTGGAGGTTCAAAACATTACAAGTACCAGCTTGACTGGATATCACATCTAGTTGGTTGGACAAGCATTCAATGCACTAAACAAACGGAACATCTCTGTCCCTTATCCAAGTAATAAAGTACAGAGCAGTGGGCTCTCTCTCTCTCGCTGTCTCTCTCTCCCTCTTTCTCATTCTCAACAAGGGTCTTGATCTCGGTTGCTTCTGCTCCTTGGAGTTTTGGATTTTCTCCTTGAACCCAATCCCAGCTGCCTCTTCTTTGCGCTGGAGAATGCACGTCCAACAACATGCCTCTAAAAGTTTTGAGATTTACTTGTGACTTAAAAACAAATACTAGATCTGAGCTCTTTCGATCTGCGCTCTTTCGATCTGAGTCTGAGTTCATCCAGGAATCCGCGTCCAAGGGCGGAATTCCTCCAGCAACAATTCCTGCTCCATTCAACTCATGAGCGTGAGCTGAGTCTGGTGCGTCTGCTCACACCGACTTGCACGTCGGGGCTCGCTCGCACATACCACCGCAGGGTGGGTCTCAGCCTCTCCCGGAGCCTAAACTGAAGGTCTGAGAGGACGTCGCACCTGGTCCCCACCCCTTCCCCGCCAAATCCTGCACAATAACCTCTCCTGCACGCCCAGAAAAGCAAAGCCCACTCCGTTTCCGGTCCTGCCCAGGCACGATCGCTCCAGTTTACCGTCATGTACCACCAGCTTGCGAATGCCATGGCGACAACCGATTTGCTCTGAGTCGCGCAGCGGAGAACCCGGCGAGGACACGGGGTGCAGCGCAGCAGGGGCCGGGCTCGCACTCCACCAGCCCCGGACCTGGCTGGCGCTGAGCTTTTCAAGCCCCACAGCTGTCAGCGGGGGAGGCACCTGGGCGGGGCCTACATCGGCCCTGCCCGGCCGGGTTGACCCCGCCCCGCCCAATTTGGCGCAAGGCTGGTTAGGGCAGAAGTGTTATTTTACCAGGCAGCCACGCCCTGCAGCCCGGACTTTACGCGGAAGACCCGACTTTTAGTTGAACTACCCCACCCAGTTCGGGGTCCCGAATGAAATGTATTACCCTTTTATCCTCAACCGCCTTTCACCCCAGTCTCATCAATCAACTTTTACCAACGCAGGCCAACTCCAATCTGGCTTGCTCCATGCCCAATACACTTGGCCCAGGCCCGGCAGTACCCAGCCACCTCCCGTCACCTGCCCAGAGGCAGGTTCTGAGTCCTAAGTCCTTCTCAGGCTCGGGAGGGGGCGCACGGGGCAGCAGGCCAGGCAGGCTACCGCAAGGAGGCGGCCCACGGCTCCTGGGCCGGGGTCCTCCCCGCGCTCAGCCCTGCGGCTCCGGCACAAGTGCCACTCACCTCCTGAGTGTGGCGGGCCGCCGCAGCGCGCCGGGGCCGCGGGGAGGCGGCGGGCTTCTGGCCCGGCTGGGACATGGCGAGGCCGTGGGGAGCGCAGACTGGAAGGGAGGCCCGGGCGGGGAACGTTGGGAGCGAGGGAGGGAGGGAGTGGAAGGGCTGGCGGGCGCGCCCCGTGAGGCAGCTTTTCCGACCCAGCCCCGAACCCGCGCCGGGGCTGTGCCTCACCCCGCTGGACCCTCCCCTTCCTGCCCGCCGCTGGCTGTGCCCGGGCTGTAGCGGTCCGGGGCTCCCGGCCTGCAACTTAACACCCTCGGCCCCGAATCTTCTCCCAGTGATGCCCCCACCTCCACCCTAGCATGCTGGGTTCCCCGTGGCTCACAGAGAGGAGGGGCTGGAGGTCGCGGGGTTCCTCCTTCGACTTGCCCAGACTTGGCTTGCAGTTGCAACGGGAGAGCGGGACCCGGGCGTGGCCCGTCTACGCCTCAATACCCCACCCTAAGAATTTCAAGAATTAGACACCTTTTCTGCAATCTGCCCTGGTTTAGCTAGGAGAAGAATTTACCAACTGAAATCGGGCCCAAGCCTGGACCGTCTGGATTAGGAAGCGGATTAACAAAACCAAATTGGGGTGTGTGTGTGTGCGTGCGTGCGTGCGTGTGTGTGTGTGTGTGTGTGTGTAATGATGTTTTATGTGGAGGAAGCCTTAGGTTCCAATCGAAACCGAAGAACAGTCCCAAGTTTAAGCCCCTATAGGCTTTCTGGAGACTGCCAAATTTTGTTTTGGAGGCTGGATTGCTTTTGTCTTTGGCTCATTTTAAACAGCACTTCCTGGTTTGGGGCTGTGAAATGTAACAAGCCTGAAGTGAAATATAACAAGCCTGACTAGAAAACGCTCCTCTGCAGCGATTGTCTGCCTGTAGTTGCTGCCGGTTTGTGATCAGATCTGACAGAAGAAAACTTGTTACCCTGCAATGACATTGACAGTTTGGGACTCAGGGTCACTAATGCCTTCCATGTTGTGTTTTAGACCGTTGGAGAGAGAGGGGGCAGGTTGTAAGGAAAGATTGGTCAATGGTGCATGGCATTTGGCAGAATCGAATTCTTGTTTCCTTCCCCCTTCTCATTTTTAGGGATTCTGACTTCCGTTTATTCAAGGGACTGGCTAGCCTCATTCTTAATGGGGGCAGCAGGGAGGAATGATTTAAACGCAATTCCTCTTAAAGGGTTCCACTTACGATCTATGTATCTGATATTTCCAACAAACAGGCGGTAGGACAGGAATTTATACGTAGAAATGAATCAACTTGGATATGGGGCCTATGAGTGTCCATTCAAGAAAAATTGATTGGTGGCCTCAATTACATTTATAATTAAGGAAAATATGTCATAAGCATGAAAAATGCTTTTATGATTGTGACCAAACACCTACAGTAATTTAAGCAAACACAGAACTAAAGGGGTGAGATAATAGACCCACCTCCAGGCCCAGGAACTGGAAGCATCTAACTCAGGATCCTAGAGGGCCTAGATTCAGGATCCCCCGAGTACATTATTCTGACTCTGGAAGAACGGTTCCCATTAAAGTTTGAGGTATTTTCTAACATAGTATTTAAAATTGAACTTAAACCAGTTGGTTTTATATTTTGAAAGGCTTCCATGTAAAGCACAGTGAAAGGAACTATAGAGAGAGCGATATAAAGGTTAAAATACATATTTCCTGCCCTCCAGGAACTTAGAGTTTAGCTGAAGTCATATGGCATTTGTAACACATGATCATTTGGGTGGCACTGAAAGACATACAGTGTGTGAATAAGTACAAATGTGCTTTGGGAATTTGGGGTTCTGTGGGTTTGGGGGATTATAGGAAGGGAAAGGAGGCTTGAAAGGGCTGGCTGGCTGGTGGGATATGGTCAGAAGAAGAAAGGGTGGGGACAGATCAGGAAATAAAATGGAGCCCACCCACCTGGCTGGAGCCTCTGGTCCAAGGTCCGGAGTAATCAATCCATGTATTAACTTACTTATTAAGCAGCCACACTACGCTTCTGATACAGTTGATACCAAAATCTGTAAGAGAATGAATGACTTCAGCCTTCAGGCTTTGCTCAAGAGTCAGAACTCATATAAGCAGAACAATTACAGGCTAAACAACACATTAATGATTATAAGTAAAGAAGAATTTCAAAGAAGTTGAAGAAGAGGATGATGTTTTCACTTTCTCTTGTAGTCAGTGAGGAATTTGGAACTTTGATACCATGACCAGCATTTGAGCATCTTGGGGAAGCTCGTTTTAAATATGTATGACACCTTTTGCTACATTTTTATTTGCACATATTCTAAGTAGAGGCATACCTCTGAGGTATTGCAGGTTTGGTTCCAGACCACTGCAGTGAAGCAAATATCACAATAAACCGAGTCACACGAATATTTTGCTTCCCAGTGAATACGAGAGTTACGTTTACACTGTACTGTAATCTATTAAGTGTGCAATAGCAAGTCTAAAAAAGTAATGTACATACCTTAGTTTAAAAATACGAAAACAAAACCAATTACCATGGTAACATCAAAGATCACTGATTATAGATCACCATAACAAGTATAATAACAATGAAAAAGTTTGAGATATTGCAGGATTTACCAAAATGTGACACAGAGATATGAACTAAGCAAATGTTGTTGGAAAAATAGCACCTATAGACTTGATCGATGTCAGGTTGCCACAAACCTTCAATTTGTAAAACATGCAGTCTTTGCAAAGCACAATGAAGTGAGGTGCAATAAAACCTGAGGGGATGCCTGTATTTTCTTTCTTTATTTACTCAGTAACAGGATGCCTGCTATGTGTCAGGTTCTGTGGAGGTAACAGGGACCTTCTGCACTCAAGGACCTTACAGTCTAGTAGGAAACACGGACAAATAAATCCACAATGACCATGCGATGAGGGCAGTGGCCAGCAGATGTATTCCAAGAGTGCTGTTGGATCCCTGGAGGGGCTTCTCATTCTGACTGAAGGGTGGGCAGGCTGGGGAGAGGGGGGAGCTCAGGGCTGCTTCCTCCCCACATCTTTGACTTGAGTTAGTTGAAACCTCCTCTGAATAATCTCCACATTGTCTCTCCTCTCCCCCTGTCCCCATTACTGCTGTAGCTGTGCAGGAACTCATCACTTCTCATTGGGAAATGTATAAATGAGAAAAATAAAGGCAGGATGGTGTCCGGAGAAGGAGCCAGGGGAGCCTGAGAAGGTGCTGCAGAAGGAAGATAGTGGAAAAGTGGGCGCTAAGGTCCAGGGAGGAGGGCCTCTGAAAGGAAGGGCTGGCCCACAGTATGAAATGTCACTCAAAGGTTAGGTCAGACAATGCAGGGAGTGTCCATTTGCTCTGACAGCTGAGAGGTTTTTGATAAACCAGCCAGTGGGTAAAATTGAGAAGGAGGCAGGGCATTTTTCCAAGGTACCCACAGTTTGGACAGTGCCCTTCACTTTGGATGGTATTTCTTTCTACACTCTTGGAGGGGAAGTTACCCCCAGAAAACCTGGACCTTCTGGCTGACATCCAAGTGCCCTCTGATCCTGCTGAAACTCATCTGTCCTATCTGCCATCTCAAGATTCTCAGCCAAGTTTGCTCCACTCCATAGTAATGTTTTCCTAAGTAAACCAGAAAAAAAAAATCTTTGTAAACAGGCAAAGACTAATTAGCAAAATAGGCAAAGGCTCTCAGAGTCTCCTTTCCCTTTTAACAGGCATGTATCTGAGTAGGAGCTTCATGCTTCTGACCTGAATTATCCAGAAGAATGGCTTCAGTGGTGAAGTTCTGTGTGTAAAGGAGGTGAAGGTGTGCTGGCCAGTAGGAGACAATGTTCAGACCACAGGAGCCTTGCCATGTGCAATGGTCTGAATGTCTGTGTTCTCCAGAATTCCTACGTTGGAATGGTAATGCCCAAATTGGTGGCATTAATAGGTGGGACCTTTGGAATTGATTAGGTCATGAGGGCAGAACCTTCATGAATAAAATTGATGCCCTTATAAAAGATCTCTGAGAGGGCTCTCTTGCCCCTTCCACCTTATGAGGCTGAAAGAAGATGTCTACCACTTGGAAGAAGCCCTCACCCTACTATGCTGGCACCCTGATTTCAGACCTCTGGCCGCCAGAACTGTGAGAAAAACATTTCTGTTGTTTCTAAGCCCTCCAGCCTGTGGCATTTTGTTATAGCTGCCTGAATGGGCTAAGACACCTTGCTTCTCAGTTCACTGGGCTTGTGCACGGATGGCAGATGAGGTAGGGGAAGGGGGAAAGAATGGAGATGGAAGGTTGGAGGGACAGGGGAAGAAGACAAGAAAGAGAATCAACAGGAGATGAAGTAGTTTTTAGTTTTCGCCACTACCAAAAAAAACTTGAGTCATACACATACCTATAGGTGGGACCTCAGGTTTTACTTCTCATTCTTCACGTCCCTCCAGATAGTAAAACACCTGCATATACCTTCAGGGCTTGTTCTTTAACGTGACACAATTTTCTGCTTCTTGTCTGTGTGGAACACAGAGGGCTGAGTCACAACTGCTTTCCAGGGCTGTACTAGGGAGTGCTCTTGGGATCAATACCTGTCGAAGCAAAGGAAAGATGGGCAAAGGGAGAAGTTCAGCTGGGATACAGATCTAGTAGAAGCCTCACATGATCCTTCAGGGAATGACGAAGATGTGATGCCCTTTAGAGATGTCCAGGGTTGGCAAGAGAGAGCTGAGCCCTTATAAGCCTGCATCAACCAGTCTTTGGATATGGTTGAAGAGGGAGGGAGCATGGCTTTAAGGAAGGGAAGCGTCTCCCTTAAGCTGTGGCAACCCCCAAGTGGCTAATGAATGTTGTCAGCTGGTGGCACTCCAGGAGCTGGAGTAGGGCCTTTTTATCCCCGAAGGGGATTCAGGTAGCTGATCACACCTGCTACACTCCCCAAGGCTATGTAACATCATAAAACTTTGGAAAAAGAATGGAGGAGAGAATCAATATTGCAAAAGTATGCTGTCAAATTGCTGGATAACAGAACATTAGGTTTGAAAACATTACCCATTTTATTAAATTTCCCCCCCCTTTTACATAGGCATTTGTCTTCAAGAAGGCAATAGTGAAGAATACTTTGTTTCACAGAGCAGCCAGCATCCATAGAGTCAATACTACTATCCAGATATACAGAAACAACAACTTTACCACTTTTATTGCTGAGAATGGGTATAAAGATAAAATAAGCTTTTTATTTTCTAATTTTGTCTAGCGGTATTAAAACAAAACAAAACAAAAGAGATTGCTCTGGAGGTCTGGCAGCAGGTGAGGAGGTAGGTGTGACACCCTCTGCTTGCCAGGAAGCTCTAAGCCTTCAGCTTCTTCTGCTTTCCTTGCTGATTTCCCTTAGGTTTGCAACCTTCTGTCCTGTGGCTGTGGGTTCATGAAAAGAGCTCAGCTTGCACAGTTAGTACGCTATGCTCTGCGGTGTCAACAACTAACTAGAGATGTGTAAATCATCCCTCTCCTGGTTCACAGTTCCTGATGGCTCCTCAATGCCAGCAGGATGGCGTTCTGATCCCTTAACACGGCCTCCCAGGGCCTGCAGGTTGTGTCCTGGGCAGCCTTGTCTACAGCTTTGTGCCTTCATGCCACTGTGTTCCAGCCATGCCTTCCTGCTTTCAGATGCCAGAACACACCGGGCTCTTCCCAGAGTTCCTGCCTTTGCTCATTTTCCTTCTCCTGAAATATTCCTCCCTTCCCATTCCCAAAGCTTTAACTTTCCCCAACACTGCATTATATTGTAACTGTCTAAGCCCATATAAAGCCCAGGATCCTCATGGCTCAATACTAAATTCGGCTTATATTTAAAGCAACAGGGGCCCAGTGTTCCAAAAGTAACTAAAATCATTTAATCTTCACTGCAATCCCTTTACTGCACTTGAAAGTGCCTGAATGGGCACACAATCTGAACACTCAGCGAAACATCTTAAAAATCCTCTATCTCACTCCCACTGTCTCCCCCATGCTGAGAAACTTCTTCTGTAAACATTTCAAAAATCAACCGGAAGATGCTCTCTTGTTCTATTCCCCCTTCTTGTTTCCTTCTGCAATGATGCAATTCCTCCTAAAGGGTCCAAAGGAGGTAAAATCATTGTGAATATTAATGTTCTTTTATCCGCCTCATAACTGCTTGTCTATATCCTCCATTAGACTCCATGACAAAAAGGATCATTTCAATCTTATTCACCGAACGTGAGATTCTGCCTGGAACAGAATATGTCCTCATTAAATATTTGTGGAATGAATAAGAACACATTGCTGGGTCTTTCCAGGCTAACCTTCCTTCTTCAAAAGATGAAAGGAGTAGCCTGGGTAATTTAAACACTTATAATTGAAATGGTCTCTGATCACATAAGATCAGGAGGTCAGGAGAACTGTCTAAACACTTCGTGATACTATTTGTATTGAATGCATTGTATTTGTATTGAACAATACAAATATTTGTATACAACAAATACTATTGTATTTGTATTGAATGGCTCTCAGTCAATAATGACTGTAAGTAAATCAAACACCTATAGTACTTACTATGTACTAGGAATTTTTAAAGGACTTTGCATGTATTTGCTCGTTTCACCCTTGTGAGGTAGGAACTGTTATTTGCCCCATGTTATAGGTAAGGAAACTAAGGCCCAGGGAAGTTGAATAATTTGCCCTGGGTTGCAAAGCTGCGAAGTGACACCATTAGCGTTTGAATCTGGTGGGCTAGCTCTCTAGTGTGTGCTCCTAACCACTACGCTAAGATTACTCTCTGCTGTATACAAACATTGATAATGGACTGGGGATGTGGATGGGCTGCGTGACATCTTGGGGGTGGAGACGGAGATTATATTTCAAAATGAGTGATTTAATATCTGTAATGATAAAAGTAAATTTTTCTAAGGTATTTTAACTATCTGGTCTTCAGAGTGTATCTGAGATGATAATATATCGAGCCAGTCACCAAAGATCCTTCTGTTGGGCTCCCCTGGTGGCGCAGTGGTTGAGAGTCCGCCTGCCGATGCAGGGGACACGGGTTCGTGCCCCTGTCCGGGAAGATCCCACATGCCGTGGAGCGGTTGGGCCCGTGAGCCATGGCCGCTGAGCCTGCACGTCCAGAGCCTGTGCTCCGCAACGGGAGAGGCCACAACAGTGAGAGGCCTGCGTACCACCAAAAAAAAAAAAAGATCCTTCTGTAGTACAAGTCTTTCACTTAAACTTCTGTTTACCCACTTACATTTGCTGCTCCTCCAAGGGTTTTGGAAAGATACTCACAACAGGAGCACTTTTCTACGTGGCAGATTCAGATTGCATGTTGGTTAGCTACTTCAAGCAATGAATGTGATGCTGGAAGATTATCTTTAAACCTTTAAAAATGGTTATTATGAATAAAAATTTATTTCAAACATTTTAGGGGTGTTTATTCTCAGAAAATTCTTGTTAAACATAAAATTATTTTTCTATTAAAATTTTATTTTGGAATAATTTTAGACTTACAGAAAAGCTGCAAAGATAGTACAGAGTTCCCAGTTTCAGTTTCCCCAGTTACCATCTTATATTACCGTGATATATTCACCAAAACTAAGAAACCAACACTGGCATATTATTATTCGCCAAACTCCAGACTTTATTTGGATTTCACCAGTTATCTCATCAATGTCCTTTCTCTGTTTGAGGTTCTAATCCAGGATATCGCCCGCCGTACTATGGTCACATCTTCTTAGACTCCTCTGTGGTCTGTGACAGTTCTTTAGTCTTCCCTTGACAGGCTTTCATGACCTTGGCAGATTTCAGGAGTACTGGTCAGATGTTTTGTAGAATGTCCCTCAATTTGAGATTATCTGATGTTTTTCTCATGATTAGGCTGGGGCTGTGGGTTTGGGGGAAGAATACTACAGTGGTAAGTGGCTTATCATCACGTTGTATTGGGGGTACCTGATATCCATGTGATTTATCACTAGTGATAGTAACCTCAATCACTTGAGTAAGGTGGTGTTTGCTGAGTTTCTCCGCTGAAAACTATAATCTCTCCCTTCTTATACTCTATTCTTTGGAAGCAAGTCATTAAGTCCAGCTCACACTCAAATATTTTTTTTTTTTTTTTTTGCGGTACGCGGGCCTCTCACTGTTGTGGCCTCTCCCGTTGCGGAGCACAGGCTCCAGACGTGCAGGCTCAGCGGCCATGGCTCACGGGCCCAGCCGCTCCACGGCATGTGGGATCTTCCCGGACCGGGGCACGAACCCGTGTCCCCTGCATCTGCAGGCGGACTCTCAACCACTGTGCCACCAGGGAAGCCCTCAAATTATTTTTAAATGTGAAAATTATTCTTATTTTTTGAAATATTTTATAAGACTTACAAAGGTGATTACAATTGACTGAGAGGGTGAAGTTTAACTGAGGCCCAGCCTCTCTGCTACAAACTAGCAACTGAAAAGTTATAATGAACATACATCCCCTGTCTTGCCATCTTCTTCTGGAATAATTTTGAGACTTGGGTTACTTTTGTTTCTATGAGTGGCTTGGCTTTTCTGCTGGTATAATTGTCATGTTTATGATGGGATTAGGTGGAGGGTACTTGGGTGGTTTGTTGCTGCCTAGTGACGTACAGAGAACTGTGAAGGAAAAACTACTCTGTTAACAGCCCAGTTCTCCTTACCTGCAGAGTCAAAAGTACCCTTTTGGTTTCATTATATTGTGTTTGTTAATTAGATCCAGTTCAGACTCTAAAGGCATTGGTTACAGAAGATCATACTTTAAGCATGACTTGTTTTTCAAATCAACATAGCATAGTTCTGTGGTAAAAATAGCCTCTGGCAAAGAAGCTTCATTGCTTTGTAATACTCTTTTGCTGTAATAGGATTTTTACTTATATGAATTTTGGATTATTTTCCAAGAGGTATCACTTGGTACTATTCAAGCCAATAGCACTTTTATGAGTAGATCAGTTTCCTTTTTCTGTGTTTTTCTGTGTTTCTGTGTCCCTCCAAAAAAGGTATGTTGGAGTCTTAACACCATACTACAGAATCTGACCTTATTTGGAGATTGGGTTTTACAGAGATTACCAAATTAAAATGAGGTCATTATATGGGCCCTAATCCAGTATGATGGGTGTCATAAAAAGGAGAAATTGGGGCATAGGTGCACACGCAGGGAGGATGCCATGTGCAGTCTGGAGTTATACTGCCGTAAGCCCAGGAACTACCAGAAGCTGGAGAGAGACCTGAGACAGATCCTCCCCAGCACCTTCAGAAGGAGCGTGGCCCTGCTGACATGCTGCTTTTGGGCTTCAGCCTCCAGAACTATGACAGAATACATTTCTATTGCTCTAAGCCAGCCCTAGCTGTTGTTTCGACAGCCATAGCAAACTAATACACTCAGGATGGGGAATGTGGGACACAAGTATAAAGATCCCAGCTCAAAATGACTCAGACCTTCTCCAGTTTTGTCCTGTACCAGGAAATGCCTCTTGTGAATTTGAATTCTGATTTGAGCATTTAGTCTAGAAAGAATAACTACCTCTTCAACTGGGGTTGTGTTTTTACAACATTCTTAGAAAGAAGGGCT